TCGCCCACCGCCAGGAGGGACTTCTCGGCCGCAGCGTCGCCACCGAATAACAAATCGTCAACGTGGCTCACGATCATGCCGCACAACTTCTTCCGCTCGGGGCCGTCCCAAAGAAACCACACGGCCTGGTCTAAAGCCGACCGTTGCCAACCTCGGGCCTCCAGCGACTTGGACAGCTTGACCCACCACTGGCGAGGGGCATCTGCTAACCCAAAAACACCCTTGAGGACCTTGGCCAGGCAGCCTTTTGGCAAAGGAATGTCTGGGCCGACCTTCGGGTTCGTCTCTCCAATGTAAAGTTCTCGGGCGACAAAGGGGTCCCCCTTGAGGAACGCCGCCTTAACGTCAGCGGAGAGCAGGTTCCAGGTGTCGCTGTGGTAGGCCACCAAGGAGACCAGAAGGTGTTGGCTTAGCCGACTCCCAGTCGGAGCGTCCCGTCGGATCTCGCCCTCCAGGTTGGCTCGGTCCTTAAAGCCTGGTACAACAAGGCGGGCACTGGGAGCAGGAGGCAAGTTCACGCCTTCGGTCCTCAAGGAGTCATTCTTATCCGTCATGACGAACCTCGGCGTGAGGATGCGGTCCAGCTCGCGCTTGCGAGCTAGCTCCTTCCGGACCGCCAGGCTTTCCTGCAGGCTCAGGACGCGTACGGCGTCATTGTCCACGTAAGCGCTCCAGCCCTTGACAGCAGCCTCGGCCCACAGCTTCTTCTCAAAGGCGTTCATGTGAGACCAAAGCTTTTCCTTGCGGCCACCGGTGGCATGTACTTCGTGAGCATCCTCAGGAACACCGGTGGGTAGAGGGACTCCAAGGGATTGAAGCAACTCATGCTGAGACCTAGCAGGCAAAGACCAGCGACCATCCCACGTGCCATGGTCTGGGGCTTTCTCTGACACAAGCCCTCTCAAGCGGTCACACTCCACCTGCGCTTGCGCTTGTAGGAGAGGATGAAGATCACAACCAGGTTGGGCTAAACGACACAGCTGCTCATGGTCTAAGGTCAAAGCTTCAAAAACGGACTGTGCACTACCGACCTGTGGATCATCAAGAACAACTGAACCCAGAGCAGCCGGCACAGAGGCAGCGCTAATGGACCCAGTTAGTTCTGAAGAAAGTCGACGGGGATCAGCAGCGTCTGCAGCACGTACATCACCCAGTGGTTCTGAAGAAAGTCGATGGGGATCAGCAGCACCGTCTGCAGTACCTACATCTCCCAGTGGTTCTGAAGAAGGTCGAGGGGGATCCGCAACACCAACGCCGCTCAACGAAGACACCCTCCTGGAGAAAGTCGGAGGCCCTTCGGGATGCGACTCTGAAGGCTCCACGCTCTCAGTCACAGATCGTTTGCGGCCCCTCTCCATCATCGAGCGCAGCTCGGCAGCAAAGTCAGCGGGCTGCCCCCGCGCCAAGGCTTGCCGCCCCAAGGCAAGTTCTAATGGCTGGTCCTGAGCTCTTTGGAGGGCTCTCTGGATCACCGGCCTCTGAAGCAGCTGACCGACAGGAGTTCCGGGAGCAGCCGTCGACTGTAGCGCTCGCTCATCTGCATCAGGGTGCTCGGAAGGCGGCTGAACCAAAGCGGACTCCTCGTGGACGAGCTCAGCCTCCTCCTCGGGAACGGTGTCGGCCGCCGCGGAGCCAAGCTGTTGAAGGGAAGTGTTGTTGCCCTCCGTGAGCTCCTTGATTGCTGCTTCCCAGGCTCCCGCCGAAAGTTGTTCCAACGACGAAGCCAAGCGAACATGCTCCAGGGCACACTTGGTCACCTGCCCCTTGAAGGAGAGGAAGGCGTTGCTCACCGCACTGTCATCGGAACTGCGCTCAAGTGCCAACACAATGGCAGGACCATGCCAGCGGCGAAGTTCCAAGCGCCTCCGCCGGCTCGATGTCGAAACTCGAGGGTCGCCCCGACGATTGGCCTTTTGGGCCCTCCAAAAGTAGACGGTGTCCCCGGCCTGAATCGGGCGCAAAATGGTCGGCTCCCGGCTTCGAGCCAGCTCTGCTCGCCGAATGCCCTTGGAGTAGTGGAGGCGAACCATCCCCACACGAGCGCTCTCTCTCAAGGCCAGGCGCTGTTGCAAAGACGGCTCGGAGTCGATCAGGCCGTGCTCCGCCAATCGCCCAGCAAAGTTGTTCAGCACAGCGCCCTGGGAGGTAGGCTGGCGCCCGGTAACACACTGCAACGGAGACACCCCCTCCTCGTTGATGTCCGCGTTGTAGGCTGCACACGCCTCCGCCACAACATTGGCCATGTCGCGGCTCCCGATGGTCACGTGCTCTGAGACAAGGGCCGCGACCAAGGTCTTCAAAACTCCCCCGGACCGCTCCGCAGGGCTGTTCTGCCACGGAGCTTGCACGGCACAGTGCCAGAGGTGCGTCGAGTGCGCCGAACAAAAGTTCTGGAACTCTTCGCTCACGAACTCCCTGCCTTGATCGGCCACAACTTGACGGGGAGCTCCGAGAATCGGCCACCACAGTCGGAGCAAGAAGTCGATAACCGCCGCCGAGGACTTGTCGGGGATCAGCGCCGCCAATTGGTACTTAGACACAGAGTCAGTGGCGTGCGCGACAACGAAGGCCTCCCCGAGCGCATCCTCGACAATGAGGAGGTCCAAGTGAGCTCGCTCTCCAACAGCCCTCGGAGCAGGTAGGCTAGCGACTCTTCGAGCTTTAGGGCGGCTGCGTTCCAGACACACATCACAACGCAGCTCCCGGGCAGCTTGTACAGCAGCAGGCGGCGCTCCTGAAAGTAGAAGGGCCCGGGCAAGTCTTTTCGGAGGTCGGTGGCCAGTCGCTTCATGTACCCGACGAACCGCAGCTCGGATCGCCGGAGTGATCTCACCGACGAAGGGCTCCTCGTTCTCATCCTCGGTCTCGCTTTCGCCCTCCAGCCCGGGTTCCTGGACCAAGGCTTCCTGCACAAAGTCAACGGCGCCACCCGCGCCCGACACCTCAAAGCATTCATTGGCGCGGCTGGCACTCTGTAGCCGGCAGGTTTCCGCGTCAAACTCGTCCTCCATCGCCGCGACGAGCCTCTCGGAGAAGTGCTTGGGGAAGGCGCGGACGTCCAGCTGCAACCTGGGAGGCTGGCCGTCGACTCGGTCCCGTCGGAACTCATGCACCACCGCCTGGCTCGAGGTAACCAGCCTAGTCCAGGGTAGCCGAAGTCGCATGCCATCGGCCGTTTTGCTGCCAAAGCGCCCCAAGTCGAGCGAAAATTGACGGCAGCGAGGGTCCGCCGCGAGGGCTCGAACACCAGGAAGACGCCAAAGGACGGAGCCCGGCGGGTGTTCGAGAACGAAATGCCTCCCCCCCCGAGCTGTAGTCTGGCAGCGCGCAAAGCAAAGCGAAGTTGCACAGCCAGCTTTTTGTGTTGTTGGCGCCGTTGGTCACGAGAAGGCGCGGCTGCAGAGGAAAACATCCAAGGTTCAGAAGGCACCGTCAGCACGATGAAGTAGGGCCGCTCCTGTTTGAGTTGCCGAAGGGCGGCTAGACGATGCTCTGGAAGACAAAAGTCCCAGCCGGCCTCGGACCCCAAGGCGGT